CATGTGCAATGGAAAGAGCATAGAGTTAGGGCCAGATGTAGTGGCTCATGCCTGTAATCTGAGCACTGTGGGAGGCCGAGGTGGGCAAATTACTTGAGGTCAGGAGTTTGAGACCAGCCTGGCGAACGTGGTGAAACCCCATCTGTGCCAAAAAATACAAAAATTAGCTAGGTGTGGTGGCTCGTGCCTGTAGTCCCGGTTACATGGGAGGCTGAGAGAGAAGAATCACTTGAATCCAGGAGGCGAGGATTACGGTAAACCGAGATCCGCCATTGCACTCCAGCCTAGGTGACAGAGCAAGGCTCTGTCTCAAAAAAAAAAAAAAAAAAGGGGAAGCATGGAGGAGCCTGGGCTTAATGCATCTGTGACCTAGTTCAAAGGTGGATGCTAATTTAATGCAAGGTAATAAAATATTTAGAAAAGTTTTTGCTTACATCTTATGGACCATCTTTTGTGTTTGCCTACATTTGGATAGGGTTGGGGGAGAGGAGAAACTTACTCTCCTCTTAGCTTTGTCCTGCATCTTGATTATATGTTTTCTGGCAACAGAAACTTTGATAAAAGAGACCTTCCAAAGCCTAATGAGACAGCAAACTAAAGAATGAAAAAGGGAGGATATAAATAGCACTAAAGACCAACATGGATTTTTTAGGTGTTTTCAGAGCTGCTAGACTCAGTAATTGGGTTTTCTTTTTTTTTGGTGGGGGGGAGGAAGGCAGGAAGGGAGGGAAGGAGGACGATAGGGAGGAAGAAAGGGATGAAGGAAGGAAGAGAGGGAAGAAGGGGGGAGGGAGAGAGGGAAGGGAAGGAAGGAAATCAAGCAATGAGAGAGACATTGCTGACCTGGATCTAGAGGTTTACAAGTTGATTTCTTTTTTTGAGAGAAGGAAAGAAAAAAAAACAAATAAGTAAAGGAGAGGAAGAAAGAGGAAGAGAAAGAGGGAGAGTAAACGGAAATATTACTTTATTCTGAAAAAAATTGGGTATTAATAATGGCCAATCAATGTTTCATTTAAACTTATGAGTAGGTGTGATGTGGTATTGACAAGAATGTATATTTTGTGTATTTGAAGTGGGGAGCTCTATAAATATTTATTAAGTTTACTTGTTCCAGATCTGAGTTCGAGTCCTTGATATCCTTATTAATTTTCTGTCTCATTGAGTCTAAGTCTTTATGTATCTGGGTGTTAGGATCGTTAGCTCTTGTTGTTGCATTGATCCTTTTACCACTGTATCTTTGTTGCTTTAAAATCTATTTTATCCGATACGAGATTTGCAACTCCTGCTTTTTATTTATTTATTATTTATTTTTGCTCTCCATTTGGTTGGTAAATCTTTCTCCATTCCTTTGTTTTGAGTCTTTGTGTATCCTTGCATGTGAAACAGGTCTGGATGTAACATGCCGTTGGGTTTTGGCTGTGTCTTTTGATTGAGGGATTTAGTCGATTTAAATTTAGGGTTACTGTCATTTGATGTTAACTGGCTGTTTTATCCATTCGTTGGTGTAAATTCTTCTTTATGTTGGTGCTCTTTACTTTTTGGTATATTTTTAGAAAGGCTAATGCTGGTTGTTTCTTTCTGTGTGTAATGCTTCTTTCAGAAGCTCTTGTAAAGCAGGCCTGGTGGTGATAAAATCTCTGAGTTCTTGCTTGTTCGTAAAAGATTTTATTTTTCCTTCAGTTGTGAAGCTTAGTTTGGCTGGATATGAAATTCTGGGCTGAAGGTTCTGTTCTTTGAGGATGTTGAATATTGGCCCCCACTCTCTTCTGGCTTGTAGAGTTTCTGCTGAGAGATCTGCTGTAAGTCTGTTAGGCTTGCCTTTGTGGGTAAACTGACCTTTCTCTCTGGCTGCCTTTAGTATTTTCTTCGTTTCAACTGTGGTGAATCTAACGATTATGTGCCTTGGGGTTGCTCTTCTTGAGGAATATCTTTGTGGTGTTCTCTGTATTACCTGGGGTTGAATATTGACCTGCTTTGCTAGTTTAGGAAAATTTTCCTGAATAATATCTTGAAGGGTATTTTCCAGCTTGGATTCATTCTCTCCGTCGCATTCAGGTACACCTATCAAACGTAAATTTGGTCTTTTCACATAGTCCCACATTTCTTGGAGACTTTGCTCATTCCTTTTTATCCTTTTTTCTCTAATCTTTTCTTCACATTTTATTTCATTAAGTTGGACTTTGACCTCTGATATCCTTTCTTCCGCTTGAACAATTCGAGTGTTTAAACCTGTGCATACTTCTCGGAGTTCCTGTATTGTATTCTTCAGTTCCATTAATTCACTCATAACTCCTCTCTAAGTTGTCTATTCTCAATACGATTTCATCAAACCTTTTTTCAAAGTTCCCAGTTTCTTTACGTTGGGCTACAACATGTTCTTTTAACTCACCGAAGTTTATTATCCATTCCTTGAAGAGTACTTCTGTCACTGGGATGTGCTCCTTCTCCATCAAGCCTTGTTCCATTGTTGATGTGGAACTGTGATCATCTTTAGAGGGAGAGGCATTCTGACTTTGAGTATTCTCAGCTTTTTTACGCTGGTTTCTTCCCGTCATTGTAAATTTATCCTCCTGTCGTCTTTGAATTTACCAACTTTCAGATTAGGTCTCTTGAGTGGAGGTCCAGGTTGTTAGTTCCCAGGGCCAGAGCAGCGGCGTTAAAACTGATGGTGCTTTTCTTCCCAGGATTCTCCTGTCTTGCTTTCTTTTTGTGTCCGTAGTAGGCGACTCTGCCTTCCCAGGGCTCCTACCTCGGTCAGAAGGGGAACCGGTCCCGTTTACTCTGTGCCGAGCGCTGCCGCGCAGAGGTGCCGTCACAGCCGCTGCACCGGGCTCTGGTGTTGTGCTGGGGGCCTGTGGGGGCCTCCAAACCTGTTTACTCTGCTCCAAGAGCTGCTGTGCCGAGGTGCCGGCGGGACCACTGCACCGGCCAAGTGAGTCGTGCTGGCAACCCGTGTGTTTCCTCCACGGGGGATCTTCTGCTCCGTGAGTGACCAGAATTTGTCTGAAAGTGTGGCGTCCTCTAGTTCTCCGCGCCTTCACTGAGAGCTGCAATCCTGGGATGTTAGCGAGTGGCCATCTTGGATCGTTTCCTTGTAATTAGGTTTTCTTATGAGACTTTTAGTTGCTTTATAAAGAAAAATAGGATAAAATAATATTAAACCAATAAGGCAGCCAAGCTCTGGAACTAGTAAAGAAGTCTCTATTTGTGATTTGAAGAAGTAACCTTATCTTTTCCCCCTGATTCTAAGACCACTTTGAAGGAACAGAAGATACTGTAGATCACCTATTCTCCCTCTTTCTCTCTCCCTCTCTCTCTGTTTATTTGTAACAGGGTCTGGCTCTGGAGTGCAGTGGTACAATCTCAGCTCACTGCAACCTCAATCTCCTGGGCTCAAGCTATCCTCCCACCTCAGAAGTAGCTGGGACTACAGGCGTGTGCTACCACACCCAGCTAATTTTTGTATTTTTTGATGGGGGTTTCGCCACGTTGCGCACTACAAAAATTTCCTACCAGAAAATAACCTAAGAAAAATGATAGCTTTCATAAGATACTGGATAGGCCATTCCGTAATAATGGCAATAGAAATTAAAGTATAACCATTAACATAAGCATCAACATCATTAACATTATACCCTTCACACTGGTACAACTGGTAGAACACTAGTTTGAGAATTGTAGCTCATGCTGATCTTATATGCAAGAAAATGAGAGCGATGTGTTTAAATATAATTTTATTCGGCCTGAATTTGCCGTGCACAAGAGGGTAGTCGCAGTGGATTTAAGTTAAAAGGAAAATGAGATTCCTGAAATTCCCCCTTAAGTGTAGTATCTGTTACTCATTTCACATATTTAGTATCAATTTTAAATATACATTAGTAGGACCATGAAAGAAGTTATCTCTATGAAGCTGAAACACTTTTTATTCTTCTGCTAACTTCGATTCTTCTTCTTCTTCTTTTTTTAAATGTATATTTCTTGAGTCAGGGTCTTACTCTGTCACCCAGGCTGGAGTGCAGTGACACAATCATGGCTCACTGCAGTCTCGAACTCCTGGACTTTAGTGATCCTACCACCTCAGCCTCCTGAATAGCTGGGACTACAGGTGTGTACCACCACACTCAGGTTAAATATATATATATATATATATAGAGAGAGAGAGAGGAATATAGAATAGATTCCCAAATATCTGCACAAAATACACACCAAATAAGTCAGATGATGACAGGTAGTAGTTTCTGTATGTGGAAGAAACTTCTTTGAGTTAAGCAAGATGATAGAGTATTTTAAATTTTATCATACTTCATAGTTTTAAAACATTTCACATATGTTATCTTATTTGTACCCATTAGGTGAGGAGGATTGGCATTAAAATCCCATGTCCTACATGAAGAAATTATGAGTCAGCGTTTGACCAAGCTCAAGGAACTGAGTGGCAAATTGGATAAGAATCTGTTTGCTGACTGTTGGTCCAATGGGCTTCCTAAAACTGTCTATTGTCTAGAAATAGATAGCATTGAAAATTTCAATATTTACAAATGAGTCAACTTTGCTTGTATGTGAGAACATATGCAGTTCTCCAGGAATGCTTTAAAATGTCAGCTCAAAGACTGATATGAAAATATTTGTCCATCTAGCATTGATTCTGCAAAGACAGATAATTCTCTGAAATACCTTATCAAACACATTATGACTGCCTTTGTAGTCAAAGAAACAATAGAAATTCAAATTTGTGTTGTCATGATAATCTAAGACATTTTCAGAAATGGTTGTTGTTGCTTTTATCAGGCTCAAAAAGTGAAAAGTGAGATAGTGGCTCCCATATGTAGGAATTTTGAAACTATTAACTTTGACAGGTAGAAACAAAGAAAGCCATTATACCAAACAAAAGAGAGTCAACACTGCCTGGCACCAACAGATGGCAGTATTGGTTATGTACTGGGCTCCATTTTCCATTAGTCTATGGTAGACTCATAATATTTTTTCTTTTTTTATATTAAAAAAATATGGAATGCTTCATGAATTTGTGTATTATCCTTGCACAGGGGCCATGCTAATATTCTCTGTATTGTTCCAATTATGGTATATGTGCTGCCGAAGCAAGCACCATAAATTTTTTTTTTTTGAGTTGGAGTTTCGCTCTTGTTGCCCAGGCTGAAGTGCAATGGTGCGATCTCAGCTCACTGCAACTTCCACCTCCCAGGGTCAAGTGATTCTCCTGCCTCAGCCTCCCAAGTAACTGGGATTATAGGCATGCACCACCATGCTTAGCTAATTTTGTATTTTTAGTAGAGGTGGGGTTTCTCCATGTTGGTCAGGCTGGTCTCAAACTCCTGACCTCAGGTGATCCCTGCCTCCGCCTCCCAAGGTGCTGGAATTATTGGCCACTGCACCCGGCCCAAATTGCGGTTAATTTTTAAAGGGTTTTATGACATTATTGGCCTCATGTAAGGTATATGGAAAGTGATGCTAATAAGAAATAAGAAACATTCTGTTTTTCCAAGTCTTACTGACTTTTAAGAAAGTAAAGATGATAAAAAGTGAGGCAACAATGATGACTTCCCTAAGTATACAGGAGAAGAATCACTTGACACCTGAATGCTTCTGAATGACAAACTGCAGACCATGTAACACATGTAAACTACTGTCCCAATGCAGCTAATCATACATAGCAAGATGAAAGAAATGTGACTGAGGAGATGGAAGAACTTTGGAATTTGTTACTGCATAAAGCTCTGTCAATATAAAAAAAGGATGCCAATTAGGCTGATATTAATTTAGGAGATGGTTTGGTCTGGTCAAAATGGATGATATCACAGGCTTATGACTGTTCAAATCAGCAGATCATCCATGTGAGTTGTCACTGGTAAACATCTGACATAACCCCTGAGGGGTTGTCAGCTCTTGTGGAGTCACTATTGAGGGAGTTGTTACTTACCACACTACAGGTCAATTTTGGGAAAAGATGTGCAAATCTAAGGAAGATCAATGAAAAGAAGGGGAAAATGACTGGTGTTGAAGCTCTCAAGTGTCACCCACCTATTTGGTGGAAACTCATATAGAGACTACAGACTTAAAGTAAGTCACTTGAGACTTACAGACAGCTTCTTGATACCTAACCTTTATATAATAAATTTTGAGTTCTTCATGCTGTTAGGTTTTGGGGAAAGCATGGTTAGTGGATTTCATAGATTTCCTTTTTGCACAGCAGTTTTGATATTGCCCTTGAAAATCTTTAATCAGAAACACTTAACGGGCAGATTTTTGTCAGTTTCAATTTCACCATCTGACTTTGTGCTTCTCTGCTTGGTGATAAAGATGTAGTTAATAAATAGAATGGCCAAAAGGGGACAAGAATATAATAAGATGAAAAGCAGATGACCCGTTGGCAGTCATGGAGGCTGGCTTGTGGTGATGGTGAAGGTGCAGGGTGCCCATAGGTAGGTGTCAGTGCCTCCCACTTGGTTGGTCTACTAGGAAGCTACTTCAGCTTCTATTGAATATGTGTTAATAAGAAAAACTAGCCCATAGCCGGTGAAATTCTCATAGAATTTCTCACAGGTTTCTCCTACTACTGCCAAAGGTATTTTCTTTTCTTTTTTTTTATTTTTTTAAATTTATTTTTTTTTTTTTAGGGAAGAAGGCAGGAAGGGAGGAAAGGAGGAAGGGAGGGAGGGAGGAAGGAAGGGAGGGAGGGAGGAAGGAAGGGAGGGGGGGAGGGAGGGAGAGACGGGAAGGAAGGAAATCGAGCAATGAGAGAGACATTGCTAACCTGGATCTAGAGGTCTACAAGTTGATTTCTTTTTTTTCTTTTTTTGAGAGGAAAAAAAGGAGTGAAGGAGAGGAAGAAAGAGGAAGAAAGAGAGGGAGAAAGAAGGGAAATGTTGCTTTATTCTAAAAAAAATGGGTATTAATAATGGCCAATCAATGTTTCATTTAAACCTATGAGTAGCTGTGATGTGGTATTGACAAGAATGTATATTTTGTGTATTTGAAGTGAGAGCTCTATAAATATTTATTAAGTTTACTTGTTCCGGATCTGAGTTCGAGTCCTTGATATCCTTATTAATTTTCTGTCTCATTGAGTCTAAGTCTCTTTATAGGTCTTATGTATCTGGGTGTTAGGATCATTAGCCCTTCTTGTTGCATTGATCCTTTTACCACTATATCTTTGTTGCTTTAAGATCTATTTTATCAGATATGAGAATTGCAACTCCTGCTTTTTATTTATTCATTTATTTTTGCTCTCCATTTGGTTGGTAAATCTTTCTCCATTCCTTTGTTTTGCGTCTTTGTGTATCCTTGCAAGTGAAATGGGTCTGGATGTAGCATGCCGTTGGGTTTTGGCTGTGTCTTTTGATTGGGGGATTTAGTCGATTTAAATTTAGGATTACTGCCATTTGATGTTAACTGGCTGTTTTATCCATTCGTTGGTGTAAATTCTTCTTTATGTTGATGCTTTTTACTTTTTGGTATATTTTTAGAAAGGCTAATACTGGTTGTTTCTTTCTATGTGTAATGCTTCTTTCAGAAGCTCTTGTAAAGCAGGCCTGGTGGTAATAAAATCTCAGAGTACTTGCTTTTTCATAAAAGATTTTATTTTTCCTTCAGTTGTGAAGCTTAGTTTGGCTGGATATGAAATTCTGGACTGAAAGTTCTGTTCTTTAAGGATGTTGAATATTGGCCCCCACTCTCTTCTGGCTTGTAGAGTTTCTGCTGAGAGATCTGCTGTAAGTCTGATAGGCTTCCCTTTGTAATTAACCTGACGTTTCTCTCTGGCTGCCCTTAGTAATTTCTCCTTCGTTTCAACCCTGGTGAATCTAACAATTATGTGCCTTGGGGTTGCTCTTCTTGAGGAATATCTTTGTGGTGTTCTCTGTATTACCTGGGGTTGAATATTGTCCTGCTTTGCTAGTTTAGGAAAATTTTCCTGAATAATATCCTGAAGAATATTTTCCAGCTTGGATTCATTCTCTCCGTCGCATTCAGGTACACCTATCAAACTTAAATTTGGTCTTTTCACATAGTCCCACATTTCTTGGAGACTTTGCTCATTCCTTTTTATCCTTTTTTCTCTAATCTTTTCTTCACATTTTATTTCATTAAGTTGGACTTTGACTTCTGATATCCTTTCTTCCGCTTGAACAATTCGAGTGTTTAAGCCTGTGCATACTTCTCGGAGTTCCTGCATTGTATTCTTCAGTTCCATTAATTCACTTATATTCCTCTCTAAGTTGTCTATTCTCATTAGGATTTCGTCAAACCTTTTTTCAAAGTTCTTAGTTTCTTTACATTGGGCTGCAACATGTTCTTTTAACTCACAGAAGTTTCTTATTATCCATCTTTGGAAGCCTGATTCTGTTAATGGGATGCGCTGGTTCTCGATCAAGTCTTGTTCCCTTGTTGATGAGGAGCTGTGATCCTCTTTAGAGGGAGAGGCGTTCTGATTTTGTGTATTCTCAGCCTTTTTATGCTGGTTTCTTCCCATCATTGTAAATTTATCCACCTGTCGTCTTTGTAATTACCAACTTTCAAATTAGGTCTCTGAGTGGACATCCAAGTTGTTAATTCCCAGGGCCGAAATATGAGCAACCCACTGCGCTGGCCAAAACAGCGGTGTTAAGACTGATGGTGCTTTTCTGCCTGGGGAATCTCCAGTCTGGCTTCCTTCTTGAGTCTGTAATAGGCGACTCTGCCTTCCCGGATCTCCAAACCTTGGTCAGAAGGGGAACCAGTCCCGTTTACTCTGCACCGAGAGCTGCCGCGCCGAGGTGCCGACGAAACCGCTGCGCCAGCCACAAGAGTCGCGCTGGCGACCTGTGGAGCTCCTCCACTGGGAATCTTCTGCTCCGTGAGCGACCAAAATTTGTCTGAAAGTGTGGCGTCCTCTCGTTGTCTGAGCTTTTGCTGGGAGCTGCAACCCTGAGATGTTAGTGATCGGCCATCTTGGATCGTTCCTCGGTATTTTATTAAATCACTGTTAGGATTCTATTGCTCGGTATTTTATTAAATCACTGTTAGGATTCTATTACTCTCATGATTTTACACACACACACACACACACACACACAGATTTTGGCTATTTGTCTCCACCATGGGGGCAGATCCCTCATGGGTTGGTGCTAGTGTATGAGCTGAGGTCACCCATGAAATTCACAGATTTAGTAGCTTTTTGTTTGCTTTAGCCAGTGATGGAATTTTCAGTTCTGTGCTGTCATCTTGGCCTGTGATGTCGGACCTGCACACAGCTCGGCAAGAAATCTTTCAGTTATGTATGATTTCTCTCTCTTCATCTTCTTCATTCCCAAATTGATTCTGCCCCTGGAATGTTTCCCATTATCACCTGCCACTTGTCTAGTTCAGACCTTGTTACTTGAGAAACAGTGTAGTAAAAATTTGGACTTTGGATTCAAACTTGATTTAAGAACCTGTTCCTTCTACCCACTAGCTTTATGACTTTGGAGGAGCAGCTTAACTTCTCAAAGCCTCTGTTTTCTTAGGCAGAAAATGAGGTTAGTCATAGTAGCTGCTTTGTGAGATTGTCTTGAAGATCAAATAAGTCAATACAAGTATAGCGCTTAGTGTTTAATACGTGTTAGCTGGCTGGGCATGGTGGCTCATGCCTGTATCCCAGCACTTTGGGAGGCTGAGGCAGGTGGATCACAAGTTCAGGAGATCAAGACCATCCTGGCTAACTCAGTGAAACCCTATCTCTACTAAAAATATAAAAAATTAGCCTAGCATGGTCGCATGTGCCTGTAGTCCTAGCTACTCGGGAGGCTGAGGCAGGAGAATCAACTTGAACCCGGGAGGCAGAGGTTGGAATGAGCTGAGATTGCACCACTGCCCTCCAGCCTGGGTGACAGAGTGAGACTTTGTCTCAAAAAAAAAAAAACAAAAAACAAACAAACAAAAAAACATGTTAGCTATCAGGACCTGTATTATTCTAATGGACTCTTCACTGTTTTTCATTTCTCTGATCTTTAACTTCTACAAGTAGTTTCTCCTACTGCTACCAAAGGTATTTTCTTAAATCACTGTTTGGATTCTATTACTCTCATGATTTTACACACACACAGATTTTGGATATTTGTCCTTACAATGGGG